GGTATATTATTTTGTACCATATACATATGTCAACTATTAAAAAATAAAATAAAATTTAATTTTTAAAAATTATACCTTTAACATTGGGAGGAATACATAGGAAAGAAAAATGGTACTAAATTTACATTTATTAAGAATTTATGAATTCAGTATTCAGATAATGATATAGACTAATTTTATTAGCAAAAATGATGAGTATTCAAATATTTATACATTACATGATATAAAATGGCAATGGTTTCCCAATTAGCAGGGAAAAAAATGTTAACTGATAATATTTTCTTGATTTCTAATTGAGATCAGCTACTCAAAACTTATTTTCTACTTAATCATTATCTTTTTATTTAGGACTTGCTAGCACACAAAGAACAGCAGTGCAAATATTTAGTAATTATGACACCGAAAAGTCTACTGATAACTTATTTTTTTCCACCAAGTGGGAAAAGACTAGCATTTTTTGGATCAATACTGTGGTCCAGCTCACAGATGATTTGTGTGTTCAGAAACACAGTTTGATAACTTCTTGGATAAACATGAAGAAGCTCTAAATTTAGGCAGTAATCAGGTGGGGTTAATAAAGTATCCAAAGCATGGGTTTGGGGATAAACTAGACATGTTTCCAAACTTTATCTCTACCATATTGCCTAGCTGTGTGACTCTGGAAAAGATCACTTCATGGAGATTCCATTTCCTCCTCTTTAAAATAGGAATAATAGTAATTTGCTTTCAGAATTGTGAGGGTTGAAGACAATGTTTATAAAGTCTCTAGGATGTGGGGGTCAAATTATTACGCAGGGTCTTCAAAGTTAGCAAGGGACCAGCTCTTTTGTATCCTGACAAAAGGGAAAACTATGGAAGGGAGAAGGAAGCATGAGTCTGATGAACTTTAAAAACACTGTGAGAAATCCCAAAAGCTTTAGTCACCCTGAGAAGATTATTGCTTTCTGTGGCCACAGAAACTGGCAGCAACTGCCCAGCCATCTGTTATAGCAAATTAACATCAGAAGGGCACAGAAGTCCCTCCAGGACAAAGAGCTGATAAGGGGTGCATGCTGCCCCCTTGGGCATTTCTTCCTCCAACATTCCCTTGCAACCCTCAGTGCTGGCATATTAAAAAAAAAAAATCAAGATATTGCCTTCTTTCAGCAATGCCTCTTTTTGAACAATTTAAGGGTGGTAGAGCGAATTCCTGACTAGAGGACTGGCCTAGTACAGTGACAGCAAGTAACAACAGTCAACGCTGGTTTTGTGATACCTGAGGATCTCCAACCTGAGCCTCATTTTCTTTCCTTAAATTCACTGGGAGGCACACAAACCAGCCCCTGGTCTTCAGCCTTTGCCAGCACAGGGCTGCTGATTCCCCTAGGGGAACATGACCTACCATAAACTAGACCATTAAAGAAAGAAAATTTTTAAACATATACTATGTGAAGCAGAATTATTAGAACCAATACACCAAGAATTTAAAATAAGCATAACAAATATCCTCAAAGATATAGAAGAAAGTACCACTAATATGAAGCAAGAGTAAGAGGTTATAAAAAAGGAATCATATAAAATGTTAGAAATAAAAAATATAACAGTTGAAATTTAAAAAAATAGATGGGGTAAATAAGAAGATTCATGAAGTAGAAAATCAGACTGAGAAGCTCTCCCTGAAGGCAGCAAGAAAGGATAAAGAAATAAAAACATAAAAGAAAAGCTAAGAGACATGGAAGGTGGAAATATCAATACTAGAATTCAGAAGAAATAGAGGAAAGGAAAGGTTTGAAGAAATAATGGTGCTAAATATCCAAGAATAAGAAAGGTCAAAGACCTCAGATTGAAAGAGCTCACAGAATACCAAACAGATAACAGAGCAGGAATAAGATGAGGTAAGTGAAGCACAAGGGATGCAAAATTTAAGGGGGCACTGGCATGACCCCAAGATTAAGTGCCTCCTCAAGTTTTGCACCCTAGGCCTCTCCTTATCTTCACTCTCCTCCCTATCCTGCAGCATGGAGAAGGAAAAGCTCACATTCAAGACACTTAATAGAGAAATTTAAGATCATCTGGGACATAGAAAAAATTATAAATGCTTTCAAAGAGAAGAGGTAGATTACCTGCAAAGAATTAAGAAGTAGATTAATATCAAATTTCTCAATAGCAACAATGGACATAAGATGATAACCAAGTAAAATTTTTTAAACATTAAAAGGAAAAGAACTTTAAGCCTAGAATTTTTATATCCACCCAAACAGTCATTTAACTATGAAGACAAAATTTTAAAAATACTGGGAGGTGAGGAAAGCCTCAGAAGATTTCCCCATAAAACAGACCTACTTTGAAAAGTAGGTCTTTCTCCTAGAGAAAGAACTCAAATAAGACTAGAAATAAATCAAGGAGAGTGCCTAAGATATATGGGAGAAAATAACAAAAATTTTTATTTTCTGAAAAAGGACTAAAGAACAGAAAAATAAATATTATACCCATAAAAACTCAGAACTAAATTTCATTGTTTAACATATTAATGGAGACCCTGGTGAATATTATAAAAAAGAAAAACATACTATAATGATTACAAAGGAAAAGAAAAAGTTGCCTTTTTGGTAAGTAATATAAATTACTTGAACAGAAAAGCCACAAGAATCAATAAATTATAAGAATAAAAGTGTGGCAAGGTAAACATTTATAAGATAAATACATAAAAATCAAGAATATTTCTCTACAATAGTGATAACCTACCAGAAAATATAACAAAAAATAAGATATTCTCAGCAGAAGTAGAAACTATACAGTATAAAGTTTCTAGAAATTAAAAAATAATTCACAAGGCCTTTTAAAACTCTCAAAGACGTGAAAGTAAAACTGAATAGATATTCCATACTGTTGGATAAGATGAGATAGTACGGCAAACAGTAAGTTTATAAACAGTGTTAAAATATTTGAGATATCTGGATTTACTTTATTAGATTTATAAGGTTTTTTAACATATATTAGGTTTAATTCGTTGAATTTATAGGAATTATTTAAGTGTTTGGGAAGGTTTTGATTGTCAAAGTTTTAAGTTTTCCTTGTAAATGTATTTAAAGTGTTTAAGAAGAAAACAGAATATAATTAAATCAACACACTTGCAGTTTAAAATGTAAGTAGAATTTAATTGACTATGTTTTGTAAATGAGTCATTGTTAAGGTATATATCATTTATTCAACTTGAGTTAGACATCAAAGAACAAGTGAAAGTTACTATTATTATTTTATACAATATTTTTAAAAGGCTTATGGAAAATATTTTTGAAATTTATA